TGGCATGTGGTGCTGGGGGATCGAACTGCGGTCCCTGATGCTTTGCCAAGCTTGTTCTAAGTAGGTGCTTTAGACCACTGAGCCATCTCTCCAGCCCCTATTTTCAGTTTTTAAAAGAGAATAAAAAATGGTAAAAAAGAAAAATTAGAATTGACATAGAATTTCGCTAAACAAAAGAAAAGCTTTAAACAGTGAAACTATTTGTGCTATTTAATTGGAAGGAATTTCATACCTATTTATGTTGTAGAATTAGTAGCTTAGCTGAATTATCAGAGGCTTGAAAGGAACACGAGTTTAAAAATTGGTGACAAATTTTGGGGAAAGGCATATGGCATAAAGTTTCCTGAATGGGTACAAAGCATGCAGATACTTCACTTGTGTTAATTAAAGGAGGTCTCCTAGACATTTACTATTCAAATATATAGGATGACTCATTCTACAGATACTAGTCAGTCTCTAGGCCCAGCTATTCATGTCTTTGTCCAATGAACTCATAAATACATTGACCAGGGTGGCAAGGATGGAGGTTATGCATGAGTTCAACATCATCATCATATACTTCAACTTACCAATGTCAACCTAGCTATCATGACTAGTTAGTATCCAGTTTGCCAGTAAGAGTGACTAAGAGTTAGGTTACTATATGACATAATTCCCTCAGATGGTCAAATAGCCATTGGTGCCAGATTGATTGCACTCCATCACTTCCAGCACAGAAGAAGGAGCATTTTATCCTTACCAAATAAACAATCATTTTGTATGCAGGTTTGCGATCCTTGCACATAAGGTGTGGCCAAAATCCCTATTTGTGGTTTTATAGAGTGCTTATTTACTATTATAACATTTCACATAGCTTGCTTCAGATCAAAGATCTCACTTGGTAGCCAAAGAAGAATAGCCATGAGCTTTTGCTCTTGGAATTTATAGACTTTACCATGTTCTTCATAATTCTTAAGCACCTGGGTTGATAAAATGACGAAATGACCTCTCAAAGACAATTATTACTGCCAACCTAGCAATAGTACTTTACAAACCTGGACAAGTTTCTCCAGAAGGCTGGATATATTCTGAGTCAGTACCTGAAATATGGTACTAGCACTCTGATAGCCAGGGTTCACGGGATCAGATGTCAAGGACTGAAAATAGGAGTGACACCAGTCACACGTACCCCTAGTGACTCACCATCAATTTTTTTTTCTTACTCCTGTGTCATTATGTCTCCTAGCCTACAAGCTTTGGTTATGGTAAAGGAATGTGTCTATTAAGAAACACAACAGTGTTTCCGCTGAACTGAAAGTTACCAGTGCCACCCAGCTATATGGGAGTCTTCGTGCTTCTGAGTCAACAGGCAAAGATGTACGCTATGTGGCTGGTTGGGCTGATTGGTCAGGACCATGGGATAACCCTTACCTCTCTTGATAACACCCTATCATGTGATCTAAGTGGGTGGAAAACTACAATTTAATTCAGACAGAATCACTAATAATTCTGGCATTTTTAACAGTGAGGATTCAAGTTACTCTGTCAGATAAACACAACCAACCACCCATAGTGCTTGATAAAGGCAAAGAAAAAACAAAATGAGCAATAAAAGAAGTTAAATATAAATTAATCTATGACTATAGGACCAGTTACAGAAATTGACTGCAATTTTTACAAATATTATTCATTGTGTAATGGATACCTCTGTGTGTATGTTCATATAAGAAACTATAATGGAGTTCAATCTGTAGCAGGAGCAGAAAGTAGACCTCAGAGGCCCTGAGCAGTCCCACCACCATCGCTGGCCTAGTTACCATCACACCTGGGGAGGAGCCGCAGCTGCCTCAGCCGGCCCCAGTCACCATCACCACAACCATGAGCAGCAAGGTGGAGACCCAGCAGCCACCCGCCGCCCCCGCCCTCAGCGCAGCTGACACCAAGCCAGGCACTAGGGGCAGCAGCACAGGAAGCAGTGGGAGGTGGGGGGCGTCTCACATCGGTGGCACCTGCTGGCGAGGACAAGAAGGTCATCTCAATGAAGGTTTTGGGAATAGTAAAATCGTTCAGTATAAGAAACGGATATGGTTTCATCAATAGGAATGACACCAAGGAAGATGTATTTGTACACCAGACTGCCCTAAAGAAGAATAACCCCAGGAAGTACCTTCGCAGTGTAGGAGATGGAGAGATTGTGGAGTTTGATGTTGTTGAAGGAGAAAAAGTTGTGGAGGCAGCAAATGTTACAGGCCCTGGTGGAGTTCCAGTTCAAGGCAGTAAATACGCAGCAGACCAGAACCATTATAGATGCTGTCCACATCGTAGGGGTCCTCCACGCAATTACCAGCACAATTTCCAGAATACTGAGAGTGGGGAAAAAGAATGAGGGATGGAGGGCTCTCCCGGAGGTCAGGCCCAACAACGCCAGCCCTACCGCGGACGAAGGTGCCCACCTTACTACATTGACCTGTGGGCATCGACCACAGTATTCCAATCCTCCTGTGCAAGGAGAAGTGATGGAGGGTGCTGACAACCAGGGTGCAGGAGAACAAGGTAGAAAGTGAATCAGAATATGTATTGAGGTTATAGACCACGATTCTGCAGGGGCCTTCTTCGCCAAAGACAGCCTAGAGAGGATGGCGATGAAGAGCATAAGGAAAATCAAGATGAGACCCAAGGCCAGCAGCTATCTCAATGTTGGTACCTTCAAAACTTCAATTACCAATGCAGATGCCCAGAAAACCCTAAACCACAAGATGACAAAGAGACAAAAACAGCTGATCCACCAGCTGAGAACTCCTCTGCTCCTAGAGCAGGGCGGGGCTGAGTAAATGCCGGTTTAACATCTCTACCATTATCCGGTTTAGTTATCCAGCAAGAAAGAAATGAAGAGGAAATTCCAGCAATAAGAAATGAACAAAAAATTGCAGCTGAAAACCGTTAAGTGCTTGCCTTTTGCCTGTTGATCAGATAACTAGAGCTATCTGGATTACATATGCAGCATTGGGTTTTTATTACTTTTACCTAAAGACTTCTTTTTTTGGTAGTGACAAACGTTTTTGTTTTTTGTTCTTTTTTTTTTTAAAGCCTAGTTTTTCTCAGCATCCCTTTAAAGGTTTTTAAGTTGTTTCATATCTGGTCAAGTTGAGATTTTTAAGAACTTCGTTTTTAATTTGTAATAAAAGTTTACAACTTGATTTTAAAAAAAAAGTCAACATATTGCAAGAACCTGTTAATAAAGGTCTTGGGGCCAGGGAGATGGCTCAGTGGATTAAGTGCTTCCCCGGCAAGCACAAGGGTCTGAGTTCAATCCCCGGTTCCACCAAAATAAATAAATAAATGAATAAGTAAATGAGGTCTTAAATAATTGAAACAGAAAGAAAGAAAGAAAGAAAGAAAGAAAGAAAGAAAGAAAGAAAGAAAGAAAGAAAGAAAGAAAGGGAAAGGAAAGAAAGAATAAGGACAAAACTAAAGATTATATGAAGACTTTATCTCTTCTGGGGAAGAGATTAGTGTGTTTCTAATTGCACAGAAGAGTAGTACAATGCTAGGTAGAATTATTATGCTGGTTACTATTGTCTCTTGGATGCTGTGTGTACCATCCCCATGGAAAAACAGGGTGTTTAGTACTATGTCCCTGAAATACCCTTTCACATTTCCAGATCTCTTACCAAGCCAAGGGGATACTGTAAGCACATAGGGCATGAATTGTCTAGGTGAATATTATCAGAAAGATACTAGGAACTAAGCAAAGTACCAAAACTGCTCACTGCATGTGTTAACTTAGTTATTCCTTCAAACATTAGTCAGATCATGAAATTCAGCAAGCTAGTTATGTTGCTTCTGTGTAGCGGAATCTGTAAAAACCATTCCTTGTTGTAATTCAGCATGGGACAGCCACTGTCCTGCTTGCTACCAGGGAACACTCCAAGCACTTACGGACAAACACTTGTTCCACCCTTTGCCACTAGGCCTCTCCAGTAGTGCTGTTGTTGATCATGCATGCCTTGTGGACTGAATGATGCTATTTTAGAGTATATGTCCACATGGGCTTGGGGAGGCAGTGCTATTGGGTACACATTGGTCATGGATTTGCATGGCCCTTCCAGTTGGTGCTGCTGGAGTGATAAATTCTTCTAATGGGCTTTTCCCTGTTAGTGCCAATTAACTCTGTCCTCCTCTGTTAGTACTATAGTACATCTCAATAAATCTCATTTCTCACAAGTTTTATTATTTTATTTTTTGGTCTCTTAGCAACCTAATGTATTTCTCTTTGACCATAGAGCTATGGACAGGAAGGTATGGCTTAAGAAAATGATTTTGGATGCCAAATTGACATGACATGGTTTTATTATGGTGTTCACTTTTATATACTAATCTGATTGGAGTAAAACTTGTGCTTACTAACATTAAGGAAAATAGTAAACTTTCAAAGTTTTCTTTTCCTTCCTCTTTTGAATGTAGCAATCCTCCTATGCTAGGCCTTGATTTGGTTGTTTATTATCTGACTATTTGAAAGTAAATAATTTAGTTTCCTTAAGACTTAATTTTCTTCTTCTCCAAAGTTAACAGAAAATATACAGCTAATATGTACATCAAATACAATAGTGCAGTAAAAGGGCTTATAACTAGGTAATGTTAGTACACCCTGCATTGTGATTGGGAATTTTTTCTTTGCATCTGATGGTTAGAAAGACAAGAATTGATGCTTGCTTTGGCAGCACGTATACTAATATTAGAATGACACAGAGAAGATTAGCATGGCCCCTGCACAAGGATGGGCATGCAAATTTGTGAAGCATTGCATATTTTTACTCCAAGAATAAGAATGGAAAGAACCCACCAAAATAAGGCAAACAATTAAAGACAGGAGAAAAGGGGATGTACAACAGCAGGTGAATAACATGTCAATCATAAGTCAATACATCTCAATTATAGCCATAAATGTAAATGGACACAACTCACCAATTAAAAGAAGTAGACCGGCAGAGTGGATTAGGAAGCAAAACTCCAAGGGCTGAAAGTCAAAAGATGGGAAAAATTCTACATGCCTAAGGACATCTGAAAAAAGTAGAGGTAGCAAAACCTGTTCACAGGCAGGCTCAACTTCAAACAAAGAATGATCAAACAAAATAAAGAAGCCCACTATATACCGGTTATGGGAAAAATTCAAGAGGAAGAAGTAACAATTATAAATATGCACACACCAAACACAGGAACACCCATTTATATAAGACAAATATAATGGACATAAAAATCTAATATCCAATACCACAATCTTGACAGGAGACCTTAATACACCCTTATCCCAAACAGGTAGGTTAAGCAGACAAAAAAATTATCAAAAAAGTAGGAGAACTGAAGCAGAACTTGTAACAAAAGCACTTAGAGGACATATACAGAGTATTCTACACAACCGCATCTGCGTACAGAATTTTTTCAGCTCCACATAGGACATTTTCTAAAATAGACAACATACTAGTCCATAGGTCCTGCTTAAGGATATGCAAGAAAACAGAAATTACCCCATTCACATTATCTGACCACAGTGCAATGAAACTGGAAATAAATGACAAAAGAAACCACAAAAAAATCATAAATACACGTAAATTGAACAACAACCTCCATAGCAACCAATGAGTTACAGATGAACTTAAACAAGAAATTAAACAACATTTGCAGCTCAATGAAAATTCAAGCCCAACTTATCAGAATTTATGGGACTCAAGGAAAACAGTGTTTACAGGGAAATTTATAGCTGTGAACTGACACGTTAGGAAAACAGAACGGGAACAAATAAACACCCACATGCTGCACTTCAAAGGAAAAGAACAGCAAACCAAACCCAAAGCCAAAAGATTGGAGTAAATTAAAATATTAGAGCAGAAATTAATGCAATGAAGACAAAGAAAACAATATGAAGAAATAATGAATCAAAAAGCTGGTTCTTTGAAATATTAAATAAAATTGATAAGCCCTTAGCTAATTTTATGAAAAAGAGGAAAGAAAAAACTTAAATTCAAGCAATAAGGAATGAAAAGAGCTAAATTAGTACAGACCCTTTGGAAATTCAGAAGATTATCAATAGCTATTTTGAAAATCTGTACTCTCACAGAATTGAAGACACAGAAGAAATGGACAGATTCCTAGAAGAGTACAAATTACTAAAACTGAATCAAGAAAATATCAGAACTCTCAATAACCGAATAACAGCCAACAAAATTCAAAATGTAATAAAAAAAAAACCTACCGACAAAGAAAAGTCCAGGTCCTGATGGATTTACAGCTCAATTCTACAAGAAATTTACAGACAATATAATCCCTACACTCATCAAACTCTTCAATGAAATTAAAAGGGAAATGATCCTCCCAAAATCATTCATGAAGGCAAGTATTATACTGATACCAAAACCAGAGAAAGATGCAACTGAAAAAAGAGAGCTATAGGCCAATCTTCCTCATGAATATAGATGCCAAAATCCTGAATAATATCCTAGCAAGCAGAATAGAGCAAATCATCAAGAAGATTGTACACCATGACCAGGTAGGATTTATCACAGGGATGCAAGGATGGTTGAATATATCCAAATCTATAAATGTAATACACTATATCTATAGAGCTAAATCCAAAAACCATATGATCATCTCAATTGATGCAGAAAAGGCTTTTGACAAAGTCCAACACTCACTAATGTTCAAAGTCCTACAGAAAATTGAAAAAGATGGCCTCTACCTCAATCTGATAAAAGTCATCTAGAGCAATCCAACTGCTAACACAATGTGAAATGCAGAAAAACTGATATCTTTTACTCTCACATCTGATACAAGACAATGATATCCTCTATCACCACTCCTATTCAATATAGTTCTGGAATTGTTAGCTAGATCCATTAGACAAGAGAGAGCAATAAAAGGAATAAGAATAGGTAAAGCAGAAGTCAACCTACCATTATTTGAAGATGACATGATTCTCTAACTGGAAGACCTAAAAAGCTCCACCAAGAAGCTACTAGAATTAATACAAAAATTCAGTAGCACAGTAGGATACAGAGTCAATACCAAAAAGTCAATAGCATTCCTCTACACAGATAACAAACACACTCAAAGGGAAATTAGAGAAGCAATAACTTTTACAATAGCAACACAGCAAATGAAATACTTAGGAATTAATATAACTAAAGAAGTAAAAGATCTAGTCAATGAAAATTACAGTACTCTCTAATTTTACAGAGTACTGTAATTTTCAAGTAGAGGATTTCAGAAAATGGAAAAATATTCCCCTCTCCTGGATAAGAAGAACAAACATCATAAAGAGGGCCATACTCCCAAAATTGGTATACAGATTTAATGCAATCCTTATCAAAATACCACCAATATAACTCAAAGACCTAGAGTAATCATTCCTAAAATTTATTTGGAATCAGAAAAGACCTAGAATAGCAAAGGCAATTCTGGGCAACGAAGACAAGGCAGGAAGCATTAAAATCCCTGAGTTGAAATTATACCACAAATCTACTGTGATAAAATCAGCATGGTTCTTTTAATTCCATGAATAGAAAGATTTGTTCTAATAGTGTTTGTGGACAGGATATCATGTCTGCATTTTGTACAGTGAATAAACAGTAAGATAACAATATACAATGTATTAAGTATTGAAACTGTGCTACTAATTGGTTTTGAAACTATCTATTGCTGTTAGTTTCTCAACAAAATTATTTTAAAAAATCAGCATGGTATTGGCAAAAAATAAACCAGAGAATCAATGGAATAGATTAGAAGATGAAGAAGCAAGTATAAACACACTCAGCCATCTTATCTTTGACAAAGGAACCAAACATGCTAACTGGAAGAAAGATATCCTCTTTAACAAATGGTGTTGGAATAACTGACTCTCTACAAGCTGAAAACTAAAACTTGACCCAGGTCTATTGCTATGCACCAAACTAAAGTAAAAATGCATTAAAGATCTAAACATTAAAACAGAAACACTGAATCTTCTGGAAGAGAAAGTAGGCAGAAATCTTGCAGACATAGAGGTAGGCAAGAGTTCATGAACAAAAATCAAACTGCACAGGAAATACTTGAAAGAATTAACAACTGGGACCTCCACTTATTGAGAAGCTTTTGCACATCAAAAGAAATTACCAACAGAGTAAAAAGACAACCAACAAATTTCAAAAAAAATCATAACTAATAATTACTTTAAAAAGGTCTTCTATCTAGAATTTATAAACTAAAAAAGATTAGGGCCCACAAATTTAAAGACTCAATCCAGAAATAGGCATCTGAGATGAACAGACACTTTTTAGAGGAAGAAATACAAGAAGCTAATAAATACATGAAAAAATGCTCCACATCATTAGCCGTCCGTGAAATGCAAATTAAAACAACACCAAGATACCATCTCAGACTAGAAAGAATGGCTATCATGAAGAAATCAACCAACAACAAATGTTGGAGAGGCTGTGGAGAAAAGGGAACCCTTCTCCCCTGATGATGGGAATGTAGACTGGTACAACCATTGTGGAAATCAGTGTGGAGACTCCTCAAAAAACTAGGACTGGAAATCCCTTTCAATGCTGCTATCCCGCTTCTGGAAATTTTCCCAAAAGAACTGAAAACAACATATCATAGTGATATGTGTGTGCCTATGTTTATAGCAGCACAATTTGTGATAGCCAAAACTTGGAAACAAACAAAATACCCATCATCTGAGGAATGGATGAAAAAGATGTGGTGTTTTTATACAATGGAGTATTACTCAGCTATAAAGAAAAATAAACTCAAAGCCTTTATATACAAGTGGATGCAACTTGAAGATATAACCATTAGTGTATAAATCTGACTCACATGTGTAAATATTGTATTGTCTGTCTAGTGTAAAGAACTCAGTAAATGAAATAAAAAATTGAAAGGTGTAACACAGTTAAATGGAAAGTGATAATTTAAGGAGTAAACAATGAAGAAAGTAGAAAAGTTGGGAAATATGGCAGGGGCAAAACCATACATTTATATAAACAAGATGGTTAAGGCAATGGTCCTAAGAATCTCTGTCATGGTTTTGAAAATAGAAGTCAATAGGTAGAATTCTGACCCTGACTAATTCTACAAGCTGATATCTGTGAACTAAGTAACTACACTAAGGATAGCAATGTGTATCACTAAAGGAATGCTTGAAATACCTGTCATTTTCATCTTCTACATGTGTACTACTTCTAACATCATATCAATTATTGCTATAATCTCTTTAAATTAAATGTTTGTTTAAAAAAGGCAATAAAAGAAAACAAGAGACAAGAAAAAACATCATAGCATTGTCCTGTTAAAATGTGTAATTGGTTTTTTTCACATTCTGTAGGGACTTAAAGTTTAGAATATCCATGGTTGTTGGAAAATACCAGCTCCATGTTATGTCTAAAGTGTTTGATACTCAGACTGCCTCTGTTACAGGGTAATAGTATCATCAAGCTTCTCTTCTGGATGTTTAACAACCAAAGTTTGCAGACCAAAAATTAGAGAAAAAGAAGTGCTACAAGGATAACCAATATTTTTGCCCTAGCCCTTCAAGGTCAGTGAGGACTCAGGACATAAAAGAACCTGTACTGTGACATCCTGTAACTCAGTGGTGTCCCAAATTTTCTGTTCAAGGAGATTATGGGGCCACAGAGGAAAGTGATCGATGACATATAATGTGCCTAACGAGAGTCACCTAGACAGAAAAAAATCACTCAGGCTTTCACAGAGAGAAAATTGGTCAAGTAATGACTGTGACTCATCCAGATGGCTGACACTGACAAAATACCTACAAGCTGC